ATTTTTGGAATCAGCGTGTCGAGATCTACGTTTCTGAATTTTTTGATAATTTTTAGACAACTTTTTTTAAAATTGAAATTTCTTAATGGTCCCCCCTTCTTCAAATTTCGCAAAAATTTCGACATTTTCGAAACTCAACTAAATACATTTTCTTGTAGAACTCAAATCCGGCCTCGGTTTTTTGATACCTGCAACCGTTTTTCTAGAATCGACCGTTGAAAAATCGAAATTTTTGAAATTTTCAAGAATTCGCATTTCGCAGCGATTTTTTCGAAAATGTTGCTTCGTGACCATCCAACATGCTATATTTTTGGAAGCAGCTGATCTTTTTCCTTGCACTTTTGAACGTCTCACCCAAAAAGATGTTTTTGTTTATTTCAATTACAGATTATGTATGAACATATTTGGGATATTTAAAAAAATCGGTTTTGAAACCGAATATTTCGAACATCTTGTAACGGAACTATCCACAGGCTATGTCTTCGAATTCGTTTGGGAATTTTTGTGGATTTTTAGGCTACTTTGTCGCTTTTCTTTGTGAAATTTTTTATCTTTTTCCTAGCACTTTTGAAAGTTACCCAAACACATGTTTTTTTTTTATTTCAACTCACCGAAGTCATTTTCGGCTACATTTCTTAAAAATACCAAACATTTTTTCAGAATCGCTTTTACAATTTTTGGAGTAATTTAAAATTTGCTGTTGAGAGCGGATATTGCGAAAACTTTGGTCTAGGCCTACCAGCGGGTCTTTCTTTTCGAATCAGATTGTCGAAATCTAAATCCCATAATTTTTTTTAGATTTTTTGGTAAGTTTACCAAAAGTTCCGTTTATCTTTAAAATATATTCGATGTTTTTCCGATTTTTTGTTGATTTCGACTTGCAGAAGTTATTTTCGGCTTCATTTCTTTGAAAAACTCAATATGACAATTTTTGGAAAATTTAAAAATTCGTATTTGAAACGGAATATTTTCAAAATCTCGGTCCTTTTTGAATTTTGTGTTTTTTTTAACACTTTCCAAAAAATTCCAAAAGGGATTTTTTCTTGTTTATGTGGACCTGCAAAAGTTAGTTTCGGCGTCAGGCCATCGAAAATTCCAAGGATTTTTCCAGAATCTCTAAAACAAATATTCCCATCTTTTGGGATTTTATTTTAAAAATTTCATTTTGAAACAGAATACTTCCAAAATCTTGGCTTCGGGCCACCAATACACTGTTTTTCAAATCAGGTTGTGGAGATCTATATCTAAGAATTTTTCTGGATTTTTAGGCAACTTGCAAAAAGAAGAGCAGTTTTTCATTATGAGCATTTTGACTTTTTTCCCAATACTTTCGAAAAAATTAACCAGAGGAATTTTTTTGTGGATTTCTACTTGCTGAAGGTCTTTTCGGCTTCATTTTTAATCACTAAAATGAAATATTGCCATTTTTTTAGTGATTTCGACTTACAGAAGTTATTTTCGGCTTCATTTCTTTGAAAATTCCAACCATTTTACAGAATCGCAAACATTGATATAAATATGACAATTTTTGGAATAATTTAAAAATCAGAATTAGAAACAGAATATTTTCAAAATCTTGGTCCGATTCGGCTTATGGATTTTTAGGCAATTGGGAAAAGCTTACTTTTTAGTTTTGAATTTTTTTTTGAGCACTTTCGAAAATTTCCGAAAGAGATTTCTTTTGTTTACGTTGGCTTGCAAAAGTTATTTTCGGCTCAAGCAGTCTTCGAAAATTCGAACGCTTTTTTCAGAATCTCCAATATGAAATATACCCATATTTTGGGATTTTATTTAAAAAAAAAAATATTTTGAAACAGAATACTTTCAAAATCTTGGCTTCGGGCCACCAATACACTGTTTTTCAAATCAGATTGTCGAGATCTGTATCCTAAAATTTTTTCTGGATTTTCAGGGAACTTTGCCAAAAGCTCAGTTTTGCATTGACATTTTTGACATTTTTCCGAATACTTTCGAAAATTAACCAGAGAAATGTTTTGTTAATTTCTATTTTCTGAAGATATTTTCGGCTTCATTTCTTCGAAAATTCCAAACATTTTTCCAGAATCAATAAAATGAAATATTGCCATTTTTGTAATAATTTAAAATTTGGTTGTGAAAGCGAATATTGCGAAAATTTTGGTTTAGCACCATCAGCAGCTACGCTTTTTGAATCAGATCTTCGAGATTCTTCTCTCGATTTTTAAGAGTTTGGCAAAACTCAGTTTTTGGATAAAAACTTTTTTGACATTTTTCTGAGCGGTTTTGAAAACTAGTCACAAGACATTTTTTTAGTGATTTCGGCTTCATTTCTTTGAAAATTCCAACCATTTTACAGAATCGCAAACATTAATATAAATATGACAATTTTTGGAATAATTTAAAAATCAGAATTTGAAATAGAATATTTTCAAAATCTTGGTCCGATTCGGCTTGTGGATTTTTAGGCAATTGGGAAAAGCTCACTTTTTAGTTTTGAATTTTTTGTTTTTTTTTTTGAGCACTTTCGAAAATTTCCGAAAGAGATTTCTTTTGTTTATGTCAGCTTTCAAAATTATTTTCGTCTTCAAGTCTTCGAAAATTCCAACGATTTTTCCAAAATCTCCAAAATGAAATATGCCCATTTTTGGGATTTTATTTTGAAACAGAATACTTTCAAAATCTTGGCTTCGAGCCGCCAATACACCGTTTATCAAATCAGATTGTCAAAATCTATATCCTACATTTTTTTCTAGATTTTTGGGTAACTTTGGCAAAAGCTCAGTTTTCATTGGGAGTTTTGACTTTTTTTCGAATACTTTGGGAAATTAACCAGAGAAATGCTTTTGTTGATTACTACTTCCTGAAGATATTTTCGGCTTCATTTCTTCGAAAATTGCTAAAATGAAATATTGCCATTTTTGGAATATTTTAAAAAATCAGGATCTGAAGGTAAATAATATTTTCAAAATTTTGGTGCGGGACCATGAACACGCTATATTTTTTGGTTCAGCTGGTCGAGATTTATATCCCAGATTTTTTGTGGATTTTTAGGTAGTTTTGGCAAAAGCTCAGTTTTTCGTTTTGAATTTTTTGTTTTTTTGAGGACTTTCCGAATTTCCAAAAGAGATTTTTTTGTTAACGTCGACTTGGAAAAGTCATTTTCGGCTTCAAGTCTTCGAAAATTCCAACGATTTTTACAGAATCTCAAAAAAGAAATATTCCCATTTTTTGGGATTTTATTTTAAAAAGTTGATTTTGAAACAGAATTTTTTCTGGACTGTTAGACAACTTTGTCAAAAGCTCAGTTTTTTGTTACGAGGTTTTTTACTTTTTCCAATAGTTTATTTATTTAATTTAAAACTTGGTTTTGAAAGCGAATATTGCGAAAATTTTGGTCTAGGACCATCAGTAGCTACGTTTTTTGAATCCAGTCTTCGAGATTCGTCTCTGGATTTTTAAGAGTTTGCCAAAACTCAGTTTTTGAATAAAAACTTGAAAACAAGTCAAAGGAGACTTTTTTAGTGATTTCGACTTACAGAAATTCTTTTCGGCTTCATTTCTTTGAAAATTCCAACCATCTTACAGAACCGTAAACATTGATATAAATATGACAATTTTTGGAATATTTTAAAAATTAGAATTTGAAACAAAATATTTCCACAAGCTTGGTCCGATTCAGTTAGTGGATTTTCAGGCAATTTTGGCAAAAGCTCAGTTTTTCGTTTTGAATTTTTTGTTTTTTTTTTGAGCACTTTCGAAAATTTTGTTTATGTCGGCTTGTAAAAGTTATTTTCGTCTTCAAGTCTTCGAAAATTCCAACGATTTTTCTAAAATCTCCAAAATGAAATATACCCATTTTTGGAATTTTATTTTAAAGAGTTGATTTTGAAACAGAATACTTTCAAAATCTTGGCTTCGAGCAACCAATACACTGTTTATCAAATCAGATCGTCAAAATCTATATCCTAGATTTTTTCTAGATTTTTGGGTAACTTTGCCGAAAGCTCAGTTTTTCATTGAGATTTTTGACTTTTTTTCGAATACTTTGGGAAATTAACCAGAGAAATGTTTTTGTTGATTACAACTTGCTGAAGATATTTTCGGCTTCATTTCTTTGAAAATTGCAAACATTTTTCCAAAATTGCTAAAATGAAATATTGCCATTTTTGTCGGGATTTTTTTCTGGATTTTTAAGCAGTTTGCCAAAACTTTTTGACATTTTTCTAAACAGTTTTAAAAATTACTAAGGATTTTTTTTTAGTGATTTCTACTTGCAGGAGTTTCGGAGTCATTATTTCGAAAATTCCAACCATTTTTTCCGAATCGCTAGTTGAAAATGGCTATTAGATTTTCGGTCACATTGCTTTGAAAATTATTGTTATTGTTCAACTTTAATTATGATTGACTACCAGTTTAGCACTGATTTAATTTGAGTATGCAATTATTTATTTCCCTAAAAATACTTATATTTGTTTGTTCGTAGCTATAATACTTACACAGGAATTTGTTTAGTTGATTGTTATCAAGGAGCACTAGACGCTATTTCCTGTCAATTTCAGTGAAAGAACAGCCTTAACATGGCAAACAATTAGGTCTTGACCGGAAATTTCAGCCAGTACAACTAAACTTTTACTTTTTTTCCAAGTTAAAAAATTACTGCTATAATGTCATTTTCATCTATTCTTTACTTTACTCGTGGTCGTTTTTTATAAAAAAAAATATTCTACCGCAGCTTTGCGACTCTGTTTCGTGTTCCAATCCCTCTCCCTCTCCGCCCATCACCTCTGAAAATATGAAAATAGAATCTTCCCAGCTTACCTCTCGCAAGAGGTTTAGACGAAACAGATTCGCGCCGCATCTTACAAATTTCGCCTCACTTACATTTCCACCGCCAGCGCAAAAATTGGATTTGTTTGAAATACTCCAGACTCCAGACTTATTTAACATACCAATAAATTCCCCCTGGACCATCTAAACCGGTCGATGCCTCCCAACGTCTCACACTATTTATTTTTTTCCAGTTAGACGACTACTAATGAAAGGCGTAAGCCCGGACTCATGCAACGAAGACGGTTTGACAGCTTTGCATCAATGTTGTATCGACAACAACGAAGCCATGTTGCTCCTCCTTTTGGAATACAACGCCAACGTAAACGCCGAAGACAGCGAAAAATGGACACCACTACACGCCGCCGCGACGTGTGGCCACCTGAAATTAGTCAGGTATTTACCAAAAAGCGCATTTCAACCTTTAGTCCGAAAAGCTTTCACTCTTCAACTTTTCTTACAAACGTTCGTTTGAAAGAGTGTTTTAGTTGCCGCAAGACTTGTCGACTTCGCTTTACTTTAGTTTCGACGAAGTCGTTTTAATAATGTAATTGTGATTGCATTTGGCGAAACAGAGAAAAGATCGTCGGTGGAGCGGAAAATTGAGTTGGTTGCGGAGTGCATGAAAGTTTAATGTCAATGCGGTGCACTTTGTTGCAAAGCTGAGATTTGCGGGTTTCGTCGCAAATATTAATTAGTTTTCGGGATTTGCATTGTGTGCGTACTCGTAGTTTTACGTTTTCGAGGATTTAATATTCATGGCTTGACAAAGTCGCAGTAAATTATTTGTGTCGTAAATGCGAGCTTTGTTTGTTTTTCATTATTTTTCCCATTGTGATAAAGACGGGGTTCTTGCGCCCGATTTCGGATTAATAATTGATCTGCGGGCTTGTTTCGACGAACGCTGTCGCTAATTATTCGGAGTTTTGTTTAATCCTGCAGGAAGATTTAAAATTGGCCTTTTTAGAGTTTCCCAATTGTCTCCTGTGTACACATCCAGCTTTTTGTCTGGGTGAATTTGCAATGTAAATTTCGTTACCGTTTTTCTTCAGAAATTAATCAAGCGAAGAAGTGGTTTTTACTGAGAATTGGTGAAAAATAGTCCGGCGTTTTTTTGTTTAATGGCGTTGTGGCTTTTGTTGCTCAACTTATTAAATTTTGTGTTGATTAATAAAGAACTCCCAAGCTGAGTTCGGAACGTCAAACAGATCTTCTAATCTCTTAATCGGGTGTTTTTTATCTGCCACAGAGTTGGATTAGATAAGGCAATGGATAAAAGTCTTTGGAAGATAATATTTTACGCACTTTTACGTTATTGTAACGAATTAGAGTAAATCATGGTTTTGGTTTATCCATTCGTTTTAATGTGTTCACTCACTTTTGAAATTTTCACGAACAAGTCCATTAAAATTTAATTAGTGAACAAATTCATTAGGTTTCAATTTTCGAAAAATTGTGTGCTATTTTTTGTATTCGTTTCAATTTCCATTCGTAAACATGACTTTTTAGTAATGATTAAAAAAATCGAATGAAAAATGCTTTCAGGTTTGATTAATAAAAGTCACTTGATATTGATTCATTTTCGTAAGTGGCGTTTGTAATTCTTAAGTACCTACTGCAACGATGTTGTTGACTTGTACGTGATTAAGGATGCTAAAAATTTCGATTGAAACAACTGGCAGATTAAGAGCAAACGGCCACATTTTTAATTATTATTACTTTCATGTTTTCCCCACGTTCCTTAACCCCTGAAGTACCAAAACATAGGTCCCCGTTTCCGTCTGTCTGTTTGTGTGACATACTGTTGTCAAATTTTGTATGTATGTTAGGAATATCATATAGATGGTACTACTCCATTTGTGATTTATGAATCCGTGTTGAATTTTTACCTACGGTATCCAGATTTTTGGAAAAAAAAATCAAAATCGTCTAACAAAATTTTACGATTTAACTTTGAAATTGTAAAATCGAATGCATTGAAATATTTTAGGTTATCAGAAGCATGGTAAATCGTTAATCAAAATCTATGAATTACTTTTTTCATGTTCCATTGTTTCAGTTTTACGATTTTTCAATTTTCCGCTTTTGCATTTTTTCAATTTTTAATTTTTCGGTTCAATTTTTCAATTTTTAACGTTTCTAAATTTTTGATTTTTCCATTTCTCGAGTTCTTCCCGTCTTTTCGATTTTTCGATTTTGTAATTTTTGGATTCTTCTATTTGTCTTCAATTTTTAAATATTTCGATGATTCCGTTTTGTTCCCTTTTGGGATTTTCCAAAATTTCGATTCTTCGATTTATCTATTTTTCGACGTTTCGACTTAATTTTTCCATTTCTCGAGTTCTTCCCGACATTTCGATTTTCCAATTTTTTATTTTTTCGACTTTTCGATTTTTTAATTTCCGATGTTCAGTTTTGGGATTTTTAAATTTTTTTATTCTTCCATTTATCTTCAATTTTTAAATTTTTCTGTTTCAGTTTTGGAATTTTCCAATATTTTGGTACTTCAATTTTTCAACTTTTCGATTTTTAGATTCCTGGATTTTTTATTTTTCGATTTTTCAGTTTTTCGATTCTTAAAGTTTAGATTTATTTAAGTTTTCGATTTTTTGATGTTTGAATTTCCCGAATTTTCCGATTTTTTGATGTTTCGAATTCTCGATTCTTCAGTTTTTCGATATTTTAATTTTTTCATTTTTAAAATTTTAGATTTTTCGAGTTTTCAGGTCTTTGACATTTCTATTTTTCAGTTTTTCGAATTTATAAATTTTAGATCATTCAGTATTTTGATGCTTCGATCTCTTTATTTATATTATATTTCGATTTTTCGACTTCTCGATTTTAGGCTTTTCGGTTTTACAATTTTTCGATTATTAAAATTATTGATTTTTGGATTTTTAAATTTTTAGTTTCTAAAATTTTCGATTTTTCAATTTTAGATTTCTCGATTTATCGAGATTTCCCCATGTTTGAGATTTTAATTTTTCAATATTTACATTTATCGGTTTTTTGATTTTTCGACTTTTGGGCTTTTTCAGTTTTTCAGTATTTCAGTTTTAAGATTTTTCAATATTTCGATTCTTCAATTTTTCGATACTTGGATTTTTTACTTTTCGTTTTTTCAGTTTTTCGATGTTTTAACTTTTAGAATTTCTGATTTTTTGATGTTTGGGAGTCCTCATTTTTCAATTTTTTTAATATATTTTTTTTCAGTGTTTTGATCCTTTTTCTACCGATTTTTCAACTTCTCGGTTTTAGATTTTTCAATTTTCAATTTATCGAGATTTCTCGATGTTTCTGTTTTTTAATTTTTTGATGTTTTGATTTCTCGATTTTTATATGTTCCGATTTTTCAATTTTTCGATTTTCCAATTTTTCGTCATTTCAGTTGTATAATTAATTCATCAATTTCTGGATTTTCAGTTTTTTTTTAATTCTTTAATTTGCCAATTTTACAGTTTTTCAATTTTTAAAATTTTAGATTTTTCGATTTCTGGATTTTTCGATTTTTCAGTTCTTCAATATTTCTATTTTTCCATTTTTTAAATTTTACAATTTTTGATGTTTCAATTTTCGATTTTACGATATTTCGATCCGATTTCTTGCCATCTCGGTTTTTCGATTTAAAAAAAACTACTTTTCGATTTTTATAATTTTCGAATACTCAGGTTTTCAATTTTTCAATAGTTCAACATTTTAGTTTTGGGAATTTTTCAATTTCCAGGTTATTCAATTTTTCGACATTTAAATTTTTCGCTTTTTGATATTTCGATTGCTCGATTTTTGGTTTTTTCGCATTTTGAGATTTCAATTTTTCGGTTTTTCAATTTTTTTGATTTCTTAATTTCTTGTTTTATCGATATTTCAGTTTTGGAATTTTCCAATATTTTGACTCTTCGATTTTTCGACTTTACGATTTTTCGATTCCAAGATTTTTTACTTTTTTAAATTTTACATTTTTTTATTTTTCAACTCTTCGATTTCACGATATTTCGGTCCGATTTCTTGCCATCTCGGATTTTCGATAAAAAAATCTACTTTTCGGTTTTTAAATTTTTCGAGATTTCAGGTTTTTTATCTCTCAAAAATTCAACATTTCAGTTTTGGAGATTTTTCAATTTCTCGATTATTCGATGTTTACATTTTTCGCATTTTTGATATTTTGAATGCTCGATTTTTGGGATTTCGATTTTTCGGTTTTGAATTTTTCGATTTTCAAAATTTTTCGTTCTTCGAGTTTTCAATTTTCCAAATTTTAAAATTTTTTGATTTCTCAATTTCTCGTTTTATCGAAATTGCAGTTTTGGAATTTTCCGATATTTCGATTCATCGATTTATCGATTCCTGAATTTTATACTTTTCGATTCTTAAATTTTAGATTTTTCAAGTTTTCGATTTTTTGATGTTTCGAATTCTGGATTTTTCGGATTTTCGATGTTTTAAATTTCAGAATTTTCGATTTTTTGATGTTTCCAAGTCTCGATTTTTCAATTTTTTGATATTTGAGTTTTTCAATTTTTAAAAATTTTTTGATGTTTCGCTTTTTCGTTTTTCAAATTTTTTGATTTATCCGTTTTTCGATATTTTAAATTTTATATTTTCCGATTGCTTGATGTTTCGATTTCTCGATTTTTCATTCTTTGTTTCAATTTTTTACTTTTTCAAATTTTTAAATTTTGATTTTTCCGTATTTTGATGTTTCGATCTCTTCATCTTACGATTTTCCGACTTCTCTGTTTAGACTTTTTGCTTTTTGAATTTTTCGATTTTTAAAATTTTTGATATTTGGATTTTTGAATTTTTAGTTTTTAAAATTTTTCGATTTTTCAATTTTCGATTTATCGAGATTTCTCGAGTTTCTGTTTTTTAATTTTTTGATATTTTGGATTTTTCGAGTTCTCAGGTTTTCGATTTTTCAAAAGTTCAACATTTCAGTTTTGGGGATTTTTCAATTTCTAGATTATTCAATTTTTCGCATTTTTGATATTTAGATTGCCCGATTTTTGGTTTTTTCGCATTTTGAGATTTCAATTTTTCAAATTTGAAAATTTTTTGATTTCTTAAATTCTTGTTTTATCGATGTTTCAGTTTTGGAATTATCCAATATTTTGATTCTTCGATTCCCGGATTTTTTACTTTTCGATTTTAAAATTTTAGATTTTTCAAGTTTTCGTTTTTTTGATGTTTCGATTTCTCGATTTTTCAGTTTTTCGTTATTTTCAATTTTATATTTTCTGATTTCTTGATGTTTCGATTTCTCGATGTTTCAGTTTTTTAATTTTTTTGAAGTTTCGATTTTTCAATTTTTCAATTTTTCGATTTCCCAATTTTTCGTAATTTCAGTTTTGGAACTTTTCAGTTTCTCGAATTTTCAGCTGTTTGATTCTTCAATTTGCCGATTTTTCAATTTTTAGATTTTTAAATTTTGGATTTTTCGATTTCTTGGTTTTTCGACTTTTCGGCTTTTCGATTTCTCGATTATTCAGTTTTTTGATATTTTAAACTTTAATTTTTTAAATTTTTAAATTTCAAACATTTAGTTTTCGGATTTTTCAATCTGTTTTTCGATTAAAAAAAAATACTTTTCGTTTTTAAAATTTTTCGACTTCTGAGGTTTTCAATTTCTAGATTGTTTAATTTTCCGATATTTAAATTTTTATAATTTTTGATATTTAGAAAGCTCGATTTTTCGTTTTTTGGACTTTTGGGATTTCGATTTTTTGGTTTTTCAATTTTTCGATTTTTAAAATTTTGCGTTCTTCGAGTTTTCAATTTTTCAAATTTTAAAATTTTTTTTATTTCTTAATTTCTCGTTTCATCGATGTTTCGATTGTTCGATTTGTCGATATTTTATATTTATTTTTTCAGATGTCACTGTACAAATTTGGTTTGCATTTCACCACTTTAAGATATTCTTAAGACATTTTTAAAATTTCTGACAATCATTCTAGTAGTTTCGGAGACTCTGTCCACAATATCGCTAACAGACGACAAATAACAGATAGACGAAAATGGAAGATCTACTTTTTTTATTCAAGGAGTTATAAAACGTCGCTTTTTACTTCCCCAGCGTAAAGTAGGGAAGTACCGCAATAAGGTCCACCTGTCAAGTGGCTACTTTCATGTTTTTTCGACGTCCGATGATCCCTAGAGTGTTAAAAATTGGTCTCCCATTTCCGTATATCCCTCTGTCGTTCTGTCATCTGTGTCCCTACTTATTAGACAGTTTATCTCCGAAACTAATGGACGCTAAAACGCTAACCAAAATTTGTTTAAACATCCCCACCAACAATTTGATGATCTCACCCTAAAATTTTGTTTGGTAAATGCTATTTAACTTTACAAAATAAGATACATTTTTTGCGAAAATCAAAGTTGTGTTTATTAGAGCGTATTTTAAATATCTAAATCGATATTTGAAAAAATAATCACTGACTTGTCGAAATTTAATAACTTAAAGGCGAAACAAAATAATTTAAAAAGTTTTTACTTTCCGAACTTTCAACGAATGACTAATTTTATGTTTTCTCCACATTTTATCCCTTGTATTGTAAATGCGGTCCCCAATTCCCGTCTGTGGTTAAACATTAGCTAAAATTTCTGTGTTCATTCCTACCTATAAATTGTTGACGTCACCGAAACATTTTGCTAGGTATCAATCCGTCATTATTTTTGTCTCAGACATAGATTTTTGGAAAAAATTAAAATTTTGCAAGGAAATTTGAACATTTATCTTAGAAAATACAACTGACCTCTCCGAAATTTTTGCAATAATAGCTTTACATCATTTTTTTTCGATTTCTTAATAAAATCTAAAAATAAGTTTCTCGATTTTTCTGATCACGATGAAGCAAGCATTTAGTAAATTTAGCTTTTTTTAACTTTGATTGGTTCTTGACCGTATTCATTCAATTCCACCATTCATTTTTCTTCGAACTTAAAATTTTTAATTAAGTAAATCGCCTGGTTGGTGGATCTTTAGCGTCTGCAACAAAATTAATTCTGTCCAAGACCACCCGCAAACCTCGCTTTCATCGATCCCGCAATATTTTGTACTTCTACCTGCACTATTGATCTAGTGCAAGTGCACTGTACACCACCCCCACATTACAACCCCCACAAGAAAATAAACCCCATCTTCGCCAATTCATTTAAACGCTTACATCACTGGCTGTCATAGCCTCCGCTAAAACCGCCAATCCCAAAAAACTCTTCTATATCTACTTTTTGTTATTTCAGATAAAACCCGCTTTGTGCGTCCCCTTTGACCTTTCCTTTCACAATAAGACATCATTGTTTTTTCCCTTTTTCGCAGAATTCTCATATCGCGTGGCGCAAATCTGCTCGCAGTCAATGCAGACGGAAACATGCCCTACGATATTTGCGAAGACGAGGCAGCTCTGGATTACATTGAGGGTGAAATGGCGAAAAGGGGAGTCACTCAACAGTTGATCGACGATACGAGGGCAGCGACCGAAAGGCAGATGTTGGCCGATGTGAGGAGGATCGCAGAAACGCATGGGGATCTTGAAGCGTACGACTCGCAAGGGGCTACTCCGGTAGGTGAAAATAATGTTTTTTAACGCTAATACAAATGGAAGGCGGGAAAGTAAATGGTTTATGGTGGACGGTTGTTTACATCTTTCGAAACGTAAATTAAAACAAAATCGACAAAAATAATGGCGTAACACTTAAATAATTTGACAAGTTGTTGCATATTCAGGAACATAATGGCCGCTCTTCCACCTTGCGGAATATAAACGAAAACATTAACAGTTTTAAATACTAAATAAATTACAAAGTAAATGAATATTAATGTTATGTGCTTGTTTTTGAGAAACTAGTTTTTTAAATCTGGGCTTTGTATTTGATACACACAATGATGTCATTTTCAAGTTTCAGGCGATTTCTATTTTTTTTATGGAAGTCATAGACCACAAACCCAACTCTTATAAATGTGATGTTGTTATCGGAATCTCAGCATGTTGAAAATAATTCTCTAAAAAACGGATGACTCACAAGCTTTGTCACATTTCTTCAAAAACAAAACACTACAAGCTCTCAGTGGTCTAAATTTCTTAAAAACAAGCCCCCAAAATACAAGAGGTCCCCATTCATTTTTTTTAATCGAAACACCAAGATATTTCTAAACCATTGTCAAAGGTTCTTAAATTCTTTAAAAAAAGACACTCGGAACCTCAAATTTGTTTCAGATCTTGTCAACAACAAAACACCAAGGATCCCCGAGATTTTTAAAAATTATTTCAAAAACAAATACCAGGATTGTCCAAAATACAATAAACTTAAAAAAAACAGAAATCAAGATGCGTTTAAACTATTCATTTCGGAAACTAAACATCAAGGGCCCTCGAGATTTTTTTTCAAAACCAAAATTGTTCTAAATTGTTTTCCAAACAAAACATTAGTATTTCCCAAAGTCCTTAAATTCTTAAAATAAAACCCTCGGGACTCCAAGATTGTTTAAAATTTTCTTAAGAACACCAAGGCCCCCCAATATTTTTAAAAATTACGCCAAAAAACGAAAGATCAGGATTCTCCAAGATACAATATATATTTTTTAAACGAAACACCAAGATGCGTTTAAACTACTTATTTCAAAAAACAAACACCAGGAGCTCTCAAGATTTTTTTAATTTCTTAAAAAAAATAATAATAAAGACAGCCCCGACAATTTTTTTATTTGTTTTAAAAATAAAACACTGTTAGCCCCCAAAATTCTTAAATTCTTAAAAAGACAGTCGGAACTCTGAGATTCTTTCAAATTTTTTCAATAACAACACACCAGGAGACCTTAAGATTTTTTTGAATTTTTTTTTCTAAAAGAAAACACCTACAGGTCCAACAATTTTTTTTTAATTGTTTTAAAAGCAAAACAGTAGTAGCCCCCAAGGTTATTAAATTCTTTAAAAAAGACACTTGAGATATTACAAGATTGTTTGAAATTTTCTTAATAACAAAACATTAGCCCCCCCCCCAGATTTTAAAAAAATATTTCAAAAACAAAATGTCAGGATTCTCCAAGTTACATGCATTTCTGTGTAGATTCTTTTAACTCGTTTCAAGAACTAAACACCAGTGGTCCTCAAGATTTTTTCATTTTTTTTTTTTCTATTATAAAATACGGACAGCTGCAACAAATTCGTTTAAATTGTTTGAAAAACAACACTAGTATCCGTCAAAGTTCTTAAAATCCTAAAAAAGAGATACTCGGAACTCCAACATTGTGTCAAATTTTGTCAAGAATAGAACACCGAGGCTTTCCAAAAGTTTTAAAAATTATGTCAAAAACAAAATATCAGAATTTTTCATGATACATTTTTTTGACGAAACAACATGTGATTAAAATTATTTCAAAAATTAACACCAGGGGCTCTGAAGTTTTTTCTCAATTTGATTCCAAAACAAAATACCGACGGCCCCAACAAATTCTTATAAATTGTTTTAAAAATAAAACACTATTAGCCCCCAAAATTCTTAAATTTTTAAAAAAGACAGTTGGAACTCTGAGATTCTTTCAAATTTTTTCAATAACAACACACCAGGAGACCTTAAGATTTTTTTTAATTTTTTTTTCTAAAACAAAACACCTACAGGTCCAACAATTTTTTTTAATTGTTTTAAAAGCAAAACACTAGTAGCCCCCAAGGTTATTAAATTCTTTAAAAAAGACACTTGAGATATTACAAGATTGTTTGAAATTTTCTTAATAACAAAACATTAGCCGCCCCCCCAAGATTTTAAAAAATTATTTCAAAAACAAAAAATCAGGATTCTCCAAGATACATTTGTTTTTATTATTATTTTTTTTTCAAAACAAGATTGCACTAGCCTCAAAGAAATCGTTTAAATTGTTTGGAAAAGAAAACACAAGTAGCCCCCAAAAAACACTCGGGACCCCAAGATTGTTTTAAACTTTGTTAAGAACACCAAGGCCCCCAATATTTTTAAAAATCACGTCAAAAAACGAAAGATCAGGATTCTCCAAGATACAATATATATTTTTTTAAACGAAACACCAAAATGCGTTCAAACTATTTACTTCAAAAAACAAACACCAGGAGCTCTCAAGATTTGTTTAATTTCTTAAAAAAAAAATAATAAAGACAGCCCCAACAATTTTTTTATTTGTTTTAAAAATAAAACACTTTTAGCCCCCAAAATTCTTAAATTCTTAAAAAGACAGTCGGAACTCTGAGATTCTTTCAAATTTTTTCAATAACAACACACCAGGAGACCTTAAGATTTTTTTGAATTTTTTTTTTCTAAAACAAAACACCTACAGGTCCAACAATTTTTTTTTAATTGTTTTAAAAGCAAAACAGTAGTAGCCCCCAAGGTTATTAAATTCTTTAAAAAAGACACTTGAGATATTACAAGATTGTTTGAAATTTTCTTAATAACAAAACATTAGCCCCCCCCCTACCCTAGATTTTAAAAAATTATTTCAAAAACAAAATGTCAGGATTCTCCAAGTTACATGCATTTCTGTGTAGATTTTTTTAACTCGTTTCAAGAACTAAACACCAGTGGTCCTCAAGATTTTTTCATTGTTTTTTTCTATTATAAAATACGGACAGCTGCAACAAATTCGTTTAAATTGTTTGAAAAACAACACTAGTATCCGTCAAAGTTCTTAAAATCCTAAAAAAGAGACGCTCGGAACTCCAACATTGTGTCAAATTTTGTCAAGAATAGAACACCAAGGCTTCTCAAAAGTTTTAAAAATTATGTCAAAAACAAAATATCAGAATTTTTCATGATACATTTTTTTGACGAAACAACATGTGGTTAAAATTATTTCAAAAATTAACACCAGTGGCCCTGAAGTTTTTTCTCAATTTGATTCCAAAACAAAATACCGACAGCCCCAACAAATTCTTATAAATTGTTTTAAAAATAAAACACTATTAGCCCCCAAAATTCTTAAATTCTTAAAAAATTCTTTCAAATTTTGTCAAGGAGAGAACACCAATGCCCCCCCAAAAATTTTAAAAGTTATTTCAAGAACAGAAAATCAGATTTTATAAGATATATTAATTTTTTTTTAAACTAAACATTGGGGGGGCCCTCAAGATTTCTCGCATTTTTTTTCCAAAACAAAATACTGGCAGCCCCCAAGATTGTTTCAAAATTTCTCAATAACAAAACACCAGGAGCCCTCAAGATTTGTTCTCAATTTTTTTTCTAAAACAAAATAAAGGCAGCCTCAACATTTTTTTTATAAATTGTTTTAAAAGTAAAACACTAGTATTCCTCAAAAGTTCTTAAATTCTTCAAAGGAACACACTCGGAACTCCTAGGTTGTTTCAAATCTTGTCAAGAACATAACGCTAAGGCCCCCCAAAAGTTTTAAAATTTATTTGAAGAAGAAAATTTCAGAATTTTCCCCGATACATTATTTTTTTAACGAAACACCTAAATGCGGTTAAACTAATTAAAAAATTAAACACCAATTCAATTTTTTTCCAAAACAAAATATCCACAGCCCCAACAAATTCTTGTAAATTGTTTTAAACCCCCAAAATTCTTAAATTCTTAAAAAGGACACTCGGAATCCAAAGACCTTTCAAATTTTGTCAAGAAGAGAACACCAAAAGTTTAAAAAATTATTTTAAAAACAAAATATGATGATTCTATAAGATACATTATTTTTTTTTTAAACCAAACACTAGGGGGGCTCAATATTTTTCTCAATTTTTTTCCAAAAGAAATTACTGACAACCCCAAAAAAATAAATTGTTTGGAAGACAAAACACTAATAGCCCCCAAGGTTCTTAGTTAAAAAAAGACACTCGAGAGACACAAAAACTGTTTCAAATTTTCTCAATAACAAAATATCAGGGACTTCCAAGATTTTCAAAAATTATTACAAAAACAATATATCAAGATTTTCCAAGATACATTTTTTTTTATTTTTTGCTTTATTTAAAAAACTAAACATCGGGAGCCTCTAAAATGTTTTATACAAAACAAAATACTGACAACTCCATCATTTTTTTTAAGTGTTTTAAAAACAAAACAGTAGTAAGTAGTTCCCAAGGTTCTTACTTTTTTACAAAAGACACTTGGAAGACCACAAGAATGTTTCAGATTTTCTCAATAACAAAACACTAGGCCCCCTAAGATTTTTTAAATTCATGTCAAAAACAAAATATCAGGATTCTCCAAGTCAATCTTTGTCTAGATTCCTTTAAATTATTTAAAAAACTAAACACCAGTGGTCCTCAAGATTTTTTTCAATTTTTTTTTCAAAACACGATACCGACAATTCTAACAAATTATTTTAAATTGTTTTAAAAACAACACTAGTATCCCCAAAGTTCTTAAATTCTTAAAAAACACACTCGGGGCCCAGGATAGTTTCAAATTTTGTCAAGAACAGAATATTTGAAAAAGAAAATTTCAGGGTTCTCCAAGATATGTTATTTTTTTTCTAAAAAACGAAATACCAAGCTTCTATTTATAGAAATCGAATTAAATATTTAATCCTTGCTTAATTTAACAGAGGATTAAAATGTAGAGTATGAGCCCGTGATTG